CACTCGGGCTGCTCCCGCCTCTGCCTGTGACTCGCGGCTGCTTCTGTGCACGTGTGCTCAGCGGCATCCCGCTGGAATCCTCGAGGGCCTTGTTTCAGCCGCATCAGGAGGGATTCAGGGACCTGGGCACTCAGTCTGGAGCTGGGAGTTCCTGGGTCTCCACGTGCCTCCCAGTACTGCTTGGAGCCGTGGGCGTCCGTCTTTTCCCTGTATGGTCTGTTTCTAGGCAGACAGAGGCTCCTGTCCCCACCTCTCTGTGAGCTTGAGTGACTCTCCTTCCTACTTCCTGTCCTGCTAATCAACAAGTCGGCTAAACAATCCACTCTGGGCCGGGCGCGGTGGCTCACGCCTGTAATCCCAGCACTTTGGGAGGCCGGGGCGGGTGGATCACGAGGTCAGGAGATCGAGACCATCCTGGCTAACACAGTCAAACCCCGTCTCTACTAAAAATACAAAAAAGTTAGCTGGGTGTGGTGGCGGCACCTGCAGTCCCAGCTACTCTGGAGGCTGAGGCAGGAGAATGGTGTGAACCGGGGGCGCGGAGTTTGCAGTGAGCAGAGATCGTGCCACCGCACTCCAGCCTGGGTGACATAGTGAGACTCCGTCTCAAAAAAAAGAAAGAAAGAAAGAAAGAAAAAAATGCACTCTGCCTGGGCAAGCCCAGTGGGTCCCTAACGTGGCATCTCGGAGTGGCTGGCGACGCCCCAGGAGCCGGGCTTCCCCCGGTGGAGGCACTTCCTGTCCTCGCCAAGCTCTTGGGTTTCATGGGGTCTCCTCTTCCGCTCTTTTTCTGACTGGAGACGTCCGAGGAAGCCTGGCAATCTAGAGAGGCTGATGCGCCCCCAGCATCCCAGAGGTGACTGCCACCGGGTGGGGGCGGCTCACCCCCGCTCCTCCCTGGCATAAATCCGGGGACTCGCGCCTGCGCAGAATGCCGTGGTCCCTTTTAATTAAACAGGCAACCCAGGGTCCCTTGGTCTATGCCAACCTGCTCAGAAGTGCCTGGGCTCTTCCACGTTTCAACTGTTGTGTGTCCTGCTGCTGTGAAGTGTCCCTGTTGAGGTGGAGACAGGGCAGGGCACCTCCGTTGAGGGCGGGTTCCTGCTGTGCCCATTTCCCCGTCTGTAGAATGGGGGAGACTCGGTGTCAGCAGGGAGGTTTCTATGGGGGGGAGTCCTCTACCCTCATTTGCATTTAGGGCTCTGAGGCTGCACGCAGGTTGAGCCCCTGGCTTTGCTGCCCCTCCTCAGGGTTAGGACTATGCTGGCGCCTGGGTGGGTGGGGGGTGGTGCCTGCACAGGCAGCAGGAGGTGGGTGAGAGCGGTGCTGGGCCTGAGGGCCCGTGGCTCCCTTGGCCCCACTGAGGAGGCTGCACAGGGTGTCCTGGGCCACCTTCCCTGCCTGTAGCTGGCTCTTGCTGAGGGAAGGGGCGCTCTTGCCTGCTGGTGGAGCGTCAGGCTCTCAGGCCCTGTGTGTCGGAGCATCCGGACCCTGCTGTGTGAAAACAGCGCCCTCCCCGCCCCCACCACTCATCTCCTCTGAATAGAAGGCAAGTCTTGCCTCCTGGGAATGGCCTGTGACCCTCGTCAGCGGGGGAGGTTAGGGCACACACAGCCCTGGGGAACAAGGGGACCTGGGGCTGAGCCGGGCCTCTCGGGCCCACCCCGAGCTCTCCTGAGCAGCCTGGCAGGCAGGAGGGCACCGGGCCCTAGGGCCTTTGCTGAGCCCAGCCTGGCCCTCAGCGTCCCTCTCAATGTTCTGGGCGCCTGCCAGGCTGTGGATACAGGCCCCGGCCAGCTCTAAAAATAACCTTCCCGGGCCCTGCTGGGAATTGGTGCCACCACCACATAGCCTGGAGAGAGCCGAGACGCAGGCTTCCCGCGAGCAGCCAGGCCGAGGTGGCCAGTGGAGGTGGGGGGACGTGCCCGGGGCTGGGCAGTCCTGCAGGGCACCAGGCATAGCCAGGGGCCGGAGCCAGTTGCTCACTGGCATCTCTTCTGGGAGGACTGTGTCCCTCTGTGCCCCTGTCCCCGTCACCCACCTCCCTTTCCCTTCATCCTGCTCTCCCAGCCCCTCCCCAAGCTGGCGGCCCCTTGTCCAGGCCCAGCCCCAGCGCAGCCTACAGCCCTGGCAGAGCCTAGGCCTTGGCCTTCTGAGGTTGTCCGGAGGGAAAGGTGAGCCGAGGCTTCCTGCAAGAGGCAGCCCTGGGCTGGGGGTGGGCAGCCTGGGTGATTGGGACACCCCTGCCCCCCTCAGCTTTTTTTTTTTTTTTTTT